CGTTAAGACTTAAAAAAGAATTTCGGATATCACATGCTAACGATTTCAATGACAATAAAAAAATGATTAAGATCAAATAATACCTGTTGGTCAAAAAATGTATTTGTATTTGTGACCTTCTTCAGTTCCCAGTGAACCAGCCGTGGTGGATGTCTCACAGAGGTACATGCTCCACATGCACGACCTAATGCAGGGATTTCCTCGTAGCACCATACTAGAAACGCCCAGTGAAATCCGTAGATATGATTTAATTTTATTGTATTGGGTCGTCTTCAAGTAGTCGAGCAGGTACTGAAACGAGTAACTCCTCCATGGGAATTTCTCCCACATCTGGTCTTCCTCCAGCAAAGCCCACCAGTAGCTATCAATATACCGACGCTTCTTTTCGTCATGAGGAATGATGAAGTACTTGAGCATTAGCATCTTCGCCACTCTCACTATCACATCCCGAGAGTGACGGTACTGCCCTGCCTTGAAGTCATCACGCAACTGCTGCATAGTGACCCGCTTGCCTTTATATTTCTCATAGAAAATCGACGATTCAGGAGGAGGAGGCGCTGAGTTCGGGTCAAGCTTAGACGATCCAAAAGCAAGTCCGGTCACCACAGCATACTCATGGGCAGAGAATCGGGTAAGATGGTTACCAATACGGAACCACATCTCGTTCGGATTCTGATCGACACGAGTCACCTCGCGCGAAAGAACCCCATGCATTGCCTTTGCAGAGACATTAGCATTATCATCACACTGGAGGAACGGACCAAAGACCGAGCCTTGGAAAGCAGTCAAGGCCCCTTCAACGAGGCCTAACTCGTTCTTGATATCAGAACATATATATTGTCGGCTGTAAACGTTGATTTTCAGCCCTTGATAATTATCGATCAGTTTCGGTCTCTTGTACGACCACGAATCCTAAACAATTCGCATTGTTGTTGTTGTTGTTGTTGTTAATTATGCAAATCAAATTACTTATACATTATCAAATAAAAACAACTATTTCTTAACTATTAAAGCAGATGAAATTAAATAAATTAAATTAAATAACTGCAACAAATGGGAGTTACCTCTCCAGAAGATATGGCCTCCGGACTCGTGCCTTCAATCGCTAAGTCGCCGCCCGCCCTACCCGTTACGGCAACCGTAGAGTCGCCGGCTGCAATAGCCGTTAGGGCACCCCGCTTGGCCACCCGCCACGTGAAAAGCTTGATTCGTGAAATCTTCACTATCTCCAAAGAAGGCCATGGCGTCGTTCACGTTCATCATTTTTGGTTCTTTTTTTCTTTTAATTTCTAACAGTTCTTTTGCTTCTAACTATCGAATTAATGTCGCAAGATGGAATCCTAAATGTTTCGCCCCTCTTTCTTTTTTGTTTTATTCTCTAGAGAGGTGCAACGTAGCGTATATGAGACGTTTCGTTTTTTTTATTTTAAATAACAAACTATACGACAAAATATGCGAAAAACAACAGTCGAGTAATTTCGCGTAACAAGCGCCATACTTTCGCAATTTCGATGCATTTTTAATAAACAAATAAATATAATAGTTTAGTTTTCGTATCTCTTTCGCAGTTTAATACCCTGCGGTAGACCTACGTATAAACGCATATACGTTGTGAGACGGTCGCATAAAGAATCGCATTTATCTGACCATTTCTATCACAATATATTTTAATAATTGTTTAATAATAATTGTTTTATACTCTTATACAAAAAGGGGTCTGCGAATATCCTGCAGTTGACCTGCGAATGAACTATGCGACGTTTGTTTGTCGCAATTGTGTGTGTCGCAGAATAGAAAAATTCCAAAAACAATTTTTTTTAAAAAAAAAAAAAATCTTCGATTATACTACGAATGTTGTGCGGTTTGCATACAAAATTGTTTCGACTAATTGTCGCAGGTTCATTACCTAAACTGTTTAGAATTTTAAAAAAATTAAATTCTAAAAAAAAATAAAATTATTATGCAACAATTAGGCGAATAATACGCGATGTTTGTATTTCATATAATAGAAAATTTGCAAAAACAAATTTAAAAAAAAATATATATATATTCTTCGATTTTAGTACGAGTGTTATGCATTTGTTGTGCGGAATATTTTCGACTAATTGTCGCAGGTTCATTAGCCTAAACGGTTTGAATTTGTCAAAAATTAAATTCTAAAAAAAAAACTTATTATGCACCAACTAGACGAATAATACGTGACGTTTGTATTTCGCAGAATAGAAAATTTCCAAAAACAAATTTAAAAAAAAAATTTATTCTTTGATTATACTACGAGAGTTATGCGTTTGTTGTGCGGAATATTTTCGGCTAATAGTCTCAAGTTCATTCACCTAAAAAAGAATTTTACAAAAAATAAATTCTACAAAAAAAACTTATTATGCACCAAAACGGCGAATAATATGCGATGTTTGTATGTCGCAATTATGTGTGTTGCATAATAGAAAATTTCCAAAAATAGTTTTTTTTTTTAAAAAAAAAAATCTTCGATTAAGCTACGAATGTTGTGCGGTTGGTATGCGAAATTTTTTCGTCTAATTGTAGCAGGTTCAGTAGCTTAAACTGTTTAGACTTTAGAATTTTCCAAAAATTAAATTCTACAAAAAAAACTTATCATGCACCAACTAGGCGAATAATATGCGACATATGTATTTCGGAGAATAAAAGATCGAACAGAAATCCCTACACTACTGCTTTTACAGTCGCTTCAACCCCAGACGATTACAAAGTTGATAAAAATCAAAGGACCAGCCTAACAAAAGCTAGGATGAGGGAGCCGACGAGCTACCACAGCAGTCAAACTCCAGAAAGAGGAGTCGGGGGCCGAGCTTGTTTGTGGAGTTCCAGGTAAAACTCCTGCATGAACTCGATCCCGGCGACCACGCTCTCAACTGATGGGCACAGACGGGTTCAGGAAAGAGATCCCCGTGAACCAACCACGTTCCTCTGTCAGGAAAACCTGGCCGACCTTCAACCTTCCCACAGTTGATCCGGCAACACTGAGCCTGGAGGTTTGATCTTCATCATC